TTCACAGGAACATCATGAAACACAAATACGTACAGTATCGCCTGAAGTCTGGATTAACGATGAAAGAGATTCTGAAACTTCCATGGCTATGCATCCCACCGGCAGAGTTCAATTTAAACACAAGATCAGCACTCAAACTGAGCCTACGCTAGAAGAAGACGTCGAAATACTCTTTGAAAATAAAACTGATGTTCTTTACATATCAAAATTTTCAGAAGTACATTCAGAGCACTCTTTAGTTCCCGAAGAAAGTCAGAAAATCGATCGAAAAGCGGCCTACGAAAAAGTACCAGAAGACAAGCATTTTATTGTGAAAATGGTTTACGATCTAGTACAAAACATAATCCTGGCAGACACGAATACTTCGTCAACTTTAACAAGCACCTCTGGAACCTCTTTAGAAAGAGAAAGTGAGGTACTGGCTATTGTTCGACAAAAGGGACAGGAAAAAATATCTCTTAGAAGCTCATCTGCTCAAGTATCTGGTGCTGAAACACCATTCAACTTAGCAGATCCTATAGAAGCTGAAAAAACTGCGCAAGAGATACGGCGCTTCTTGCAAGAGAAACTTGATGAACAACTTCGTGAGCTCCCGATTCCCCCGTCTTCATCAAGACCGACGTCGGCTCACAAAAAGCTTAGCCCATTATATGAATCTACACTAAACATAACTGAGGAGATGAAAGATATTATTGAAGCGAAAAAACAAAGCATTGGCGTTGGACGCAGTGCATCGAGTGAATCCGACGATGATGCATCCAAAGTCGCAAAAAAGTCTAACTTGAAAAATGTTTCCGTTCAAACTGATAAGTCGAAAAAGAGAACTGCTTCTCAAAAAGTACAGATCACGGAGCCTGAAAACGTCGACGAATCGACGGAGACGGTTCAGGACTCAGAGAAAGAGACACAGACCTCAAAAAAGAAAGAGAAACAAGACTGATGCTATTAATAGATGTTTTATTTATTTTTATCACTAATAGAGATTCATTGTCGAATTAGATGATGAGATGTTTATGAAAGAGTCCTGCAGCCATATATGATATAGGCATAGCGTGTACACTAGCTAATTAGGACAACAACATGTCGACTATAGCAATGTAAAAGCATTAATTTTTAACGCTGATTTCTGATGTGAAGTCATTTACTATCTCCATACGACTTTGTGGCTAATAATTTAATTTACAATAAATTATAATATCTATAAAACCTGTTTCACTCAAAAGTTGAATGAAGGCTAGACCTGTGCTATACAGGTGGTTACAGTGGTATGTAATGCCTACCGCAATATAATAGAGCTGCGGTCGGCAACCTTTTGGCACACGGTCACAAAATAATCTAAAGGCGGGGACTTGTGATATTAACCCTAGAGGCGCGCTTACTTATTAATAAATGCATGTATTTTGTTGATAACTTATTTACAAAGCATTCATAGACCGCAAATAAGACGCCCACGTGTTGCCGACCGCTGCCTTGCATTACGTAACGCTACCGAACATCACTGAGATGAACGTGAACTTGGCTTAGTTTCTCAACCGAAGGAGTGGTTTCAAGGACACGTGACTCTGCCTGTGTACTCCATACTATTTGTTATGGTAACGCATCACTTTGGTATCATCCATAAAAATACACACTGTGTTATTTAAAGTCAACCGGACGTGTTGCAAAAGTAGAGTAGATTTTTCTACATTATTTGGCCATCCAATTAATGAATGTCGCAATACTAGAATGGTTTACTATTTAACTGTAATATTAACCTTAATTGCTATTACTTTCATGCATAGTGATATGTAATAACAAAATTATTGTACTGTATTACAGTGCCTTCGATTTGTACTTCGATATAAAACTGATGTTATCCAAGAATAATTCCAGAAAGTGTTCATGCCAATAGTTAAAAATGTAAAATTAATATCTTTCTTTACAAGTCTTATGGCTGATTCAATAAGAACTATTAACTTATTCATAATACCATTCTTCTTCGAAGCATTTGCAACTTACAGCACAGCTTACAGTAACTAGCTTCTTCCTTCGACTTCACCGGCAAGTTTTTCAGTATTTCAGAGGTGCGATAGAGTCGCACGTATGCGTATCCCGATGACACTTTTTATCCAAAAGCATTATATCAATAAAATTTACATACCTATCGATAAAATTAAAATTTATGGGTATTGTTATCCCGTATTTCACCCTCTTAAGATGTAAGAAAATAATAATTTTCACCCCTTTATGGTGCTAGCAAATAGTCACTGTCCTTCATATGTAGCAAAATTCATCAAAATTGGTTCAGCGGCTTAAACTGAGTAGCAAACCACCATCAGAGAATAATGTTTGCATTATTAATTTTAATGAAACAAATTGTTTGCCTATGGATTCGGCCACCTACCGCCTATACGTAGGAATAACCATGTCCTGCACCGGCCTGACCTTGTCCTCATATTGTGCTAACGGAGCTCTAGCGAATTGCATCACATACAGATTACGAGATCGAACTTGGCACATCTTTATGCTAACTTGATAATATTGAAATTGCAAAAGTTTTTGAAAATACCAAGCAATATTCGCATAAAACGAATATTATAAAAATTGCACAAGTTTTTGAAAATGTCAAGCAATATTCATGAAAAATAACTGAATGTAGTAAGTGTATAATCAGTGGCGGATTTACAAATTTGCCGCTAGTAGGCCATTCAATTTTTGCCGCCCCTACATACTGACTTTTGAAATAGAATACGTTAGTTTAATCCCGTTATTACTATGATTGTGAACTTAATGATATTTCTGTCAGTTACTAGATTATTATTGCAACTCGCTATGTACTGGAAGAGTTTAATGTTGACCTAAAAACAGCAGCATGTACTAATCCTAAGGTGGGCAAAGGCATGACTTAAAAATACCTACACTATATGAACACAGACAAAATAAGTTGTGGTCAGTAAACATTGTTTTTGGTAAATATTTTTTATTGGACTTAACAGTTTAAAAACAATACAAACAATTTCTATTAAAATATAACATGTTAACAATTCAGTTAATGGTGACAGACAATGAGATCAAATAATTGAAAATTTGAAATCAAAAAGCTTTTCAGCCTACCAGTATAGCGCTCTCAAAAATTAATAATCCTTTCAATGCAACAAACCAATTAAGCAGTGGTGAAATCTCACTGCCTCTAAGAAGCGCTAATCTCATTCCAGCAGACTTCTTTTTGTGAGGTTACCTTATGAGCAGAGTATACTCTAATAATCCAAAAACTCTGCAGCATTCATCCATCCTGAATCCATTTTGAGGTAACTCTAAGGGCTCCTGCACACGACGCTGCCACCGCGCCGCCGCTGCGCCGTCACCGCGCCGCTAAACTGTTCATACGCACCGAGTAAAACCGCCTCCGCGCCGCCACCGCGCCAACAAAGCAGTATTTCGCGCGCGGCGCGGCGGCTGCGCAGCAGCGGTGTTCACGCGGCGCGTATAAACAGTGCAAAGGCGCGGCGACGCGACGGCGAGGCGCGGCGGCGCGGTAGCGGCGTCGTGTGCATCAGCGCTTACGAAAGTTTTCCAAAATGTATGTTGACCTAATGTTCTAAACGTCAAGGGAAAGGGAAAGATAGTAAATTTTAAAATAAATTGCACTAAATTTCCTTTAAATTGCAATAGCTTAAGTTCTACAAAAATGTACAGTTTTCGTTTCCCTGAATTTTCAAAAGTGAATTTTCTTCTGGGCCACCCTGTAAAACAATATACACGAAGTTGTGGAGAGATGGTGCTCGTGCTAGGCTCCGAAGTGTTACTTAAGAGTTTTTTATTTTATTTTTATTGAAACGCTGTTGGAATATTTTAAAATTCATGATCACATAAGTACCTAAGTATATATTACAGTGCGTTTATTAATCGTTTATTTATATATGGATTGTGTAGGTATACGTATAATTATATATTTTTTTCTGTAAAAAAAAATTGCTAAATTTGCCGCCCCTATAAATCTGCCGCCCTAGGCACTGGCCTACTTGGCCTATTGGTAAATCCGCCACTGTGTATAATTTTTCATCAGGATAGAAATAAACACAAATAATAATGTTATTATTTATTTTCAAACAATCACAAAATAACGTAAACTTAGTACACCATTTAAATACCTACTAAACCTATCCCTTATAAAACAGACAATTAATGCTATTTTTGTTTGGATTTGAATGGACTGCTATAATCTGTATAATAAATATTTATCCTACTAATAACGTAATATAGCGTCGCTTCACAATTCAATCCAAAGCTGTCTTCGTTCCTTCGTTTCAGCCGAAAGACGTCCACTGCTGGACAAAGGCCTCCCCCAAAGCTGTCTGTTCCCTTTTACTCGTAACTAACACAATAATTGTTATGGAACTGGAACTCTACACTGCAAAACAATACAGATATAGTCGACTCTATCCACCTTTCTCACTTATCCCGAGATGCTAAGAGAGATTAAAAAAGCCGATATATCCAAACTATATTGCACAATAGACTCCCAGAACCACAGAAGCGCTGGCAATATTAAGAAATAGGAAACTACACTCGGCATGAAATAAATCGCACCTCCCGCGACAAGCACTTATCAAACGTATGCATCCCCACTTCCCACCAACGTTGGTACCATTTGAAAGCCTAGTTTTAAACTTCATTTCATTAAAGGAAAGGTTTTTACCCCAAAAATGTGTCTGTACAAGGATCCAGAGTCACTTCTTCAAAAAATAGGTAGTTACGATATAGCCATTTTTTATGACTATAAAACTGTTAAGTTGGGATTAATCGCTATCCATCTGTTAAAGAGGACACGTGAGATCTTTATTTGGTTTTATAACCATAAAAATTGGTCTAATTGATCCCAGAGGTTAGTCCAAAGTGAGGTCTATTTTCAAGTCACATTTATGGTATATGTTAATCATTTATTTGGAAATGAAATGTATTTTTCTTTAAGGATATTTATTGGGCTTTCAAATAACACCAATATTGTTGGGGTACCATGATTGAGTCAGAAGAAAATCTTTAAAGTTCGCGTCGCGGAAGGTGCGGTTTATTTGATGTTGAGTGTATATTAGGAGCTATGTTTTTGCGGGAGTTTCCTTAGCTTGATCCACACGTCCCCCTCTGCTTGCGGCACCAGGCTGGTGGTCTTGATCCTCATGGGCACCAGGGTCCTCTCGTCGAGGACCAGTTCGTACTTTGGCAGAATTTTCACTAGAGCCATCTTTGACTGTATGTACCCTTGGCGGACGCCTGCAATCAAAGGTTTTTCTTTTAATTTTCAATTCTATGCTATGGTCGTAGATAAACTGATACAGTGACAGATGTTGAATATGGAAATATAACAAAGAGTTTAAGTAGTTCCTATGGCATGGTATTCTTATGTTCCCTCAGTCCGACACATAACGACGCTATTAGACCCATAGCAGTAAGTAGTTTCTTAAACAATTCATGGACCAGAAAAACAGTTTCATAACTTGATAGGACCGACATTTAGTAAAGTAACTTTACAAATTAAGTTTCCTAAGCTCTATTGAGCTTGTACTATTGTTACTTGCTGAATTCAAAGCATCACTTGGATCCATCTTCTTAACTTCTAGTGTTAAGTATGTCGGTCGCGAACTTGCTACAGTCAACAATCATTAGAAGTTCGATAATGAGCCAAGAGGTTTATCTTGTTTAACTGACAAATATTTGACAAACGGTAAACCCATATGATCTAACAGTGTACCTACTAACTTTAGTATCTAACTCGTAAATGATCGAAGTTGTTGTCTTTGATGAGTTAATACTTTTACGATACTAACATTATTTACAACAAATATCAACAGCATAAATGTGTCAAGTATGTCTGAATGTAGGGGTAATGTCTACAAATAAGTGAAAAATTTTTTTCAATCTAATTAATATTTCACGTCACTAGTTTCCCATACACATTCTCTGTGATGTGGGGTAGTAAACATGCAGTACCGCTTTAATATGTAGGTACTACTATAACAAACCAATCACAAATTCGCTACCAAAATGAACCTAAAGTATAAGACGCACAGAACATTTTTATCTAACAGAAACATTCCTAATGTGCGTATAATTGCAAAACAATTGCACCACCAGCTAGGTGAAGGTCTCAGTCATGATGCCTCTCTTAATGGTGCCTAGGTGAAGGCCACCGCATGATTGGTTTCGAACGCGAGTCGCTTCAGTTCAAGGAAGAGATACGAGACTTCCGTGATACTCCGATAATAATTAAGACGAATAACAGTAATTGTTTCCTGCTAGGTAAATAACTCAGAGGTGCATTCGGTATGGCAGCAAAAAGATCTTTAGCTGTCAGAGAATTAATGTTTTCATTTCCACGAAGTTTCTTCGTATTTCCACTATGCGGTAATCGGCCATCTGAAGTTACACTCAAATTAGGAATTTGCATTTTAAAATTTGTAGGTCTCAATCAATATTTAAAAATTCAAACATCAATATTCGATTAATATTTTTTAAGAAATATGTAGGAAATGAGTAGAAAAAAGATCACCCAATTACTAAACCTATCTTAAAAGCATAAAGGGTTACTTATTGAAATGCACAACGTTTTTTGCCATAAAGATTCATAATGCTGATAGTCATTTAGTAATTGACACAACTTAGGATGAACTGTTTTTGAATACCTAATTATTTCGAATGAAAAAATAAAAAGATGCATAAAATTTACATGTAAATATAAGTCCTTGAAATGAAGTTAAAAAAGAATAATGAACTATTGTATTCGACGAATATACTTACTAATGAATATTGAAGAAAAATTCGACAATCGCATGGTTTAACCATATAACAAATAAATTGTACGCACGAGTAAAGCCTGGTCCTAGAGCACGTAGAATCCCGTCCAATGACCCCAAGCTACACATTCCTATCGCTCGCGTGTAATTATGTTGCTGTCGCGCTCGCACACTCACTGCGGGCGCCCGTCGCGGCGTCGCACAGTCGCGAGGACAGCAACATAATTACACGCGAGCGATAGGGATGTGTAGCTTGGGGTCATTGGACGGGATTCTACGTGCTCACGGACCAGGTTTTAGTAACGCTTTGATAAAGCGTTTAATATACGAATTATTTGTCTCTGCTTCAAAAGATAATTATGCTATGATTTGAAATACTTGTGTGCAAAATAATAAAGAACCCTAAAAACACTATTGTCTAACATGACGCGTGTAGATTGTATAATTTATATATGTTACGTCTAGGGGTCGCAAACCGGGATACCGAATTTCGAAAATACCGGAATACCGGGCCAAAAGGTCTAATTAATACCGGTATTCATTTCACAAAAACCGGGATATTCGGTATTTTCGGTTTTAGTAAAATAAATAAAAAACAAATACAAATAGAAAAATTAACGCGCCATTTAATTCAAAATACGCGCGCGCGAATTAATTAAAGTATTTGAACTATTTAACCCAAGTTATTTTAATAAAGGATTATGATTATGCCAAATCCATTCCAGTCCAGAAGCTTGAAGACATCTTCCAGGGCGGCGGTAAACAGTTCTCGCTGCAGCTAGATAGGTTTCGAGTCCCGATCCTGGAGGTGGACCCACATTGTGGCGATTTTGTATAAACTTTTCAACACTTCGATATATCGATAGTCAATTTGACACCTTTGGAGAGATTGTAGCACTGCCCAGGTCTCGACCGAATCGAAGGCTTTCTCATAATCCACAAACGCCAGGCAAAGTGGTTGATTATACTCCTCGGTCTTCTGTATAATCTGCCTTAGCGTATGTATGTGGTCTATGGTACTAAAGCCTTTTCGGAAACCGGCTTGTTCGGGAGGCTGGAAGTCGTCGAGCCTGCGAGCGAGACGATTCGTAATGACTCTTGAAAACAGCTTGTAGACATAGCTCAGAAGTGAGATGGGCCTATAATTCTTCAACAAGGTTTTGTCGCCTTTTTCGAAGAAGAGTATCACCACACTTCTGTGCCATGTCTTAGGCGTTTTTCCTTCGAGGATGACGGAATTGAACAGCTTCTTAAGAGCCCTTAGTACCGGCGTTCCGCCTGCCTTCAAAAGTTCAGCCGTAATTCCATCATCACCCGGTGCCTTGTTGTTCTTCAGCTGTTTGAGAGCCATTCTAATCTCGTACAGACTGACGTCCGGGATATCTTCGGTATAGTGTCGGGTCAATCTAGCTCTTGGGTCATCGGCTAGATTTGTGACAGGTGTGCGTACACTCGTGTAGAATTGTCCGTAGAACTTCTCAACCTCTTCCAATATCTCCGGCTCCGACAAAATGGCTCTGCCATCCTCTGTCTTCAGCTTGGTCAGTTAACTTTGGTCAACAGACAGATCTCTTGCGAACACTTTAGAGCCCTTGTTTCACTCAATCGCCTCTTTAATACGGTCTGTATTAAATTGGCGTAGGTCGCGAGTCAAAGACTTGGAGATCTGTCTGTTAAGACGCCGATACTGAGCAGCATCTTCAGAGGACTGCAGAACCAAGTTCCGTCTCTCTTCCATGAGTTGATTGGTGAGGTCAGAGATCTTTTTGGTTCCTTTTGAACGATGGGTTTTAAAGAACTTAGACCCAGTCGTTTGGGCAATTTCCACGAACCTGTCATTGTATTCGTCCACATTTCCGCAGTCTCCTAGGCATTCGAAACGATTTTGCAATTCGAGCTGAAAGCTTTCGGGGTTTTTGACTTGGATAGGATAGGCGCTGGGCGGAGCGTAGACTTCATCAGTCGATATCTTTTGAGCTTGGGTCTCTGATATTCAATGTGCCTCACTATTCGGTGATCGCTTCCTGTTTTGACCGAGTTGATCACAGAGACATCGTTGAATTAGTAAATTATTGCAAAGAACTGATACTGAACATATCAAACAACAAACCTTGTGTCAATTAGTATTTTGTTTTATTTAAAGCTGATTTTTCAATCGTTGGATAACTCTTAACTGAAGAATAATTTTGGCAGTAGTTAGTTGGCATAGTTTCAGTATGGGAAATATGTCAAAATGACAAATTTATTCGTCAGTTAAAAGTTATTTGATAATTGAAAAATCAGCCCTTAGAAGATAAATTAATTTAGGTTAGGTAACTTTATTATACAAAATTTGCTAACTTTAGCTTAATCCCGGAAATATCGAAAATACCGGATTACCGGTATTGGTTTAGAGCCAATACCGAAAATACCGGTTTTGCTGAAATGATTCGGTATTGCGACCCCTAGTTACGTCAAATGGCGCAAGTACACTATGCGGAAAATTTACCGAGACGAAGCGGTAGATCGCACACCGAAGTATGGGCGACGCACGTGTAGAGGAAGAAGAAAATAATGGAGATGGTGTTCACACTATTACGTCCAATCTACACGCATCATGGTTATACAATAGTCTTTTGTATTATTTTGCATTTTTGTATTTCAAATCATAGCATCTTTTGAAGCAGAAACAAATAATTCGTTTAAATTATTAAATGCTTTGTCAAAGCGTTACTAATCATGTGTAAATGTAATAGGGTTTTAAAGTATGAAATTGCCGATTTTTTTCTTCACTATTCAAGACTCCTTTAATACAATAGCTATGTCCATTATTAATTTTTTTGTGTTGGTGTTGTTTTCTCGCCCAACGAGCGTTTTCAGTCTTTTGGCGCAAGTACACTATACCGAGACGGAGCGCTAAATCGCACGCCGAAGTATGGCTGTCGCACGGATGATGGTAGAAGAAAGTTTTTTTTATCCACAACTAGGAAGCTCTTTTCCTGTATCTCACCTGATGGTAAGTGATGATCAGGCCGAAGGTAGCCGAAGTAACCGAGATGGTGTTCACACTGCTAAGTCTCGGCTAATTCGCATAGCGTACTTGCGCCAAAAGGCTGAAAACGCTCGTAGGGCGAGAAAACAGTGGTTCTAATGAAAACGCTTACAATGCGTTGTGGAAATCACTGAAAGACCACATAGCGACTCGTGTCGTAGGCGTCTTTCAACAATTAAGCTTTTTAATTGGTATGCCATTTATGATGTATGTCCATCTGACAATTGGGTCTGCGTTTATTTTCCGGATCCGGTTCGAGAGACTCCTCTAGACCACGGAGGTTATGACCAAATAATCTTAAAAACACTCCTGAAATTCAGAGTCCTGACATCATAACACCTGAAACATTATGACTATGACTAAGTAAATAATCAAAACATACCCAAACACTTCCTGGGCCCCTCCCCAAACGGCATCCAATGGCAAGGGTGTAATTTGGCTTTGTTCTCCGGGGAGAACCTCTCCGGATTGTACTTGTGCGGCTCCGGAAATATCTCCGGGTCCATTTGAATGGAGTTGCATGGCACGAACACCAGCGTGTCTTTCTCTATGACCAGGTCTGTGCCCGGCAACCGGTAGTCTTTGGTGCACCGCCTGAAGATGGCTCGCATGGAGGGGTACATTCGCATCGTTTCTAGAAGGAAATTATTTGTTTTATATGCTAGCCGAATGCAAACAAGAGTATTTTTGAAAGCTTTTTTTTCTTAATTGCTTCGACCGGGAATCGAACCTGGATTAATTGGGTTCAACCAAAACATATTTTATATAGGTATAATTTGACGCTAATGCAGTCAAAAACACTAGCAGTAACTTTTCAGGCAATTTATGCAAATTATTACCCCATAACTTTCGTGGGTATAGTTATCGACTAGCTTTTAAGAAGCCATTAAAACAAAACACTTAAACAGGACATACGAGTAACAGTTTGACTTGACAACCGATGCATGTATTTTTGTCACTTTTCATGCATTTGAATAAGACGAGGCAAAGACCCCGTAAGGTCAGGTCTACGCTAGCATTGAATGAGTCGTTAATGTCTTGAAGTGGACCCATTGTGTTTTCCACTATAAACAAGTTACATAAGTGCTGTCATCGTAGTCTCTCACTAGGTGAGATAATTTTAGCATCGTATGCAAAAATCCTAGGAACTTAATTTTGTCTAAAACATTACCATATTTTTTATGTTTGAACAAAGCTCTTCGGTCTTGTATTCGCTCTTTATTTACATAGAAACAAGCTTATTCATTATTATGTGGCTCACCTTCCAATACCATGTTGAAATATACCATTTCATTCTGTGCCTCATAGGTACATTTCCCGCCATATTTATCCAGGACTCTGACAATTTCCTCCCTCACTTTGTTCTGGATGTCGGGGTTTAAGGCCAATTGGTACGCAGTAAACTGACCTGGCGTGAAAAAATCATTGAATATGAAACAAAAAAGTAAATTAAGATAATACAAAATGGAACGTAAACTAGATGCAACTTCCTAACGCAACCGTTAATTTTTAAAGTCCAACTTCGTTGTTAGAATGCGTTGACAAATAAAAAAGTTTACACATACACAAATATATGTTTAAGTGTAGTTATTTAAACTTCTTGTGATATAATGTGTAGGTATACCAACTAGTAACTTTTGATAGTTTACTAACCAGACCAGTAATAAATGAACGACTTAAAAAGCTTTTGCTAGGCAAATGTAGAGTGTAGAGAGTGGGTTATTAATATTGAATTAACAAGTGTCATTTTTATAGTTACTTTTGTGAAGCCTCAATGTAACCTTGTTGGTGTTCAAATTAATAAATAAATAAATATTGAAATGTAGTTACTAATTTCATTCGTAATGTTACATCATAATGTTTCTGTAATGGAGTGTTTAATATGATACCTGTGGTGGCTGAAGTTTCGTATCCAGCAATCATGTACAACATGGTGTTGGCTGCGAGGTCATCCATGGAAAATGAGAAGTCATGCGGACCCGTGACTCCATCTATAACCGAGTCATCATATCATTAAACTATTCCACTTTTAACTTTGAATTAAGACATACATTCGTACATATTATGCCGGGAACTTAACTCCGTAGAAGCAGATTTAAGTGTCTATTTAAATAAAAGACCCTAAAAGGATCGATACTCTCTAGCAATCCATATTTGATTATGCCACTCGGCCTTCTATTGAATTTTAATTTCATAAAACAGGCCTATAATTCAATGTTTGTAGCAATTTTGGTGACTGAATTAATTTGGGAAGCTTTACGGCACACTACTCGTAGTAAAAGCAGACTTATCAATCGATTAATTTAAAGATTTTAAATTGGTGTAGAGTCAATGGAACTACGAAAATCATCGTCGTTTTGATACCAACAGTGTTTTTAGACCCCTAAAGAAAATAGTTCTGTGTACCTTTTCCGACCCCCGCTTGATTCCTCAACTCAATCAAAGTCTGCAGGAAGTCGTTCCTTTTGTAATCGTGTTTCTGCCGGTGTTCCACTGTGTGCTTCACCAGGCCATAGAAGAAGCCCTCAATGCGATCACTGATACGCTTTATTTTGAGTTTGTCGAAAGTGTCCGGAGCTATGAACGCGAACGCGCGGATTATGGTCCTGTAGGAATTTTCACTCTGTTACTTTCAGAAATCGTTATTCAATTATTGTAAATCGAGTTAGGTACAACCTGCGAATTTTATCGATTCCAAAAGCCATCTTCGTTGAAGTTTTTCTTAATTTATTTGATTTGTTTATGAATGTGCCGTTTTAATAAAAATGTTAACATGGTAACTATGTTCTATGTTCTTAACACCTCTAATGCTACTTAATAAAATTTTTACATAAAAATCAACACTACATATTTTTACAGTAGGTATCGAGACATTTAAATCAAAACTATCTTCACTCTTCATCTAAAACTCTTCGGAACTTAATATCTCTAATTAAATTACTCGTACGTAAAGCTATAATTGTTAATTAAATGTTATTTATTATGATAATTGTTAATCTTTTAATAATAAATACTGCGCGAATACCTACCTAGTTTTAAAGAAAATCGATTTCTGGAGAAACAGTAAGTCCAGCATACTTACTACTAACTTATGAATGAGTTTAGATTGATGGATATTTCAGGATATATACAACTAGAAACATTAATTTAAGATTACTCACCAATATAATGTTCGAGGATCAAAATACTCACGCCCTCTGTCGTAAAATTCGGATTTAGCAGACTTGAAACCGTTGCATTCCAAGCCAAATCCGATGTTTGCGATAATCTCCATTGCATATCTCCCGTACAACTCCGAGAAGTTGATCGACTCTCCATTCGTGTGCAGGGAGTCGGCATAATCTTTAGCATCATCCGCTATCTTTTCCACCATCGGATACACAGTCTTGAGTTTACCAGATGTGAACATCCCAGACATTTTTAAGCGAAGTTTCTTCCACGCCGGTCCATGTATGTTAAAAAGATTGCCGGCAAGTCTGTCGCCCACTCCGCCGGAGAACGTGCCCCGCGATTGGAAGTACTCAAAGTCCTTTATCAGAATGTGCTTTGCTAACTCCAAATCGTTCACGCACAACACCGGCCGGTGGAAACAGTACATACCGACATACGGTAAATGCTTGTACTTAAAGTATGTGTCGCAGTACGGCTGAAAAAACTGTGCTTTCCTCTTAACCACTTCCTTTATGTTACCGAACGGGAACACCGGCTTTGGGCTGAACACTCCCCGCCGGGTCCAGTAAGTGAAGCGGTACTGGTACCACACGTAAGTCAGGCAAAAAGCACAGACCGCCAATATTACGAACACGGCCATAGTTATTACTTAATGATTATTACAATATACTTCACTTAGTTTGTTAATGGTCACTTAGATATCTCGTTTAGTTGGGAAACATCGAAGAGCTAATTTGGCCATTATTTTAGTAATCCAGTGCTTTGCGTGCAATGGTCGCGACGCCAACAGCATCGACTGAATCTCCGAAGGTTGAGTGCCTGCGCCTGCGCTGGAATCAACATTTCAAAATACATCAGCCTGAGGTCACAATACACGTGAATGCCGACATACCTATATGAATTTCGACAAAACCAGCTCTGGATTATTATATTAATGATACTACATACGAAAATAACACATATTTTCCGAAAGCTTCTCAATAAGTGCATTTAATTTAAGGAAGTATTAAGCACCGCGTCAAAATTATAAAAATCGTTGTATATTTCAATACACACCTAAATGTTACTTAACTTGAACTTCGTTAATATTAAATTTCAAATTGGCCAAAATTTATCCTCGAAAATATACGAGACGCGACTGTGTTGAACCAGTCCCAGTCAAACTATAATGGTGTTAAACTTATTAGTTCTAATATGTGGTATTATGTTAATGTATTTCATTATTATACATAGATAGACGTTTCTGGTATACGATACAAATAAATTCATCATCATTATCTTATTCCCAGAAGGGTTATTTTAATTCATTGGATTTTAAATTTCATTCTATGTACCTATACTATGTTTAAAGCTTCCTCATAAATCATAGAGAAAATTGGTTAAAGATATCGAATCCAAAATCAGACTTCATTTTCGTTATCTGCACTGCATATCTGCATATTTATTAGCATAGATGAAAGACTTATTAAATTCTTTACTCTTAATATTTTTTTCAATAACAAACTCTACCCTCATGTATAAGGAACTCTATGACTACCTATATTTTATGCAGTATGAGAACAAAACCAGTAGTAGCATAATATGGTTCTAAAAAAGCCTAGTTCCATTCCACCAATGTTATTATCCGAATTCTCACCGAGCACCTGTTGACACATACAATGCAATCCGCGAGCTATCAATGGACGTGACTAAGATGCTGACAGTAGCCCGGCGGGTCCTTATTCAGGTTGCTCTTGTAATGACGGTTACGCAACCATTTCGCCACTCGCGAAAACTTGGTCACATTCGCTTACCATTCGTTCGGGTTGCTTTGTTTAACTTCGGAAATTGTGTGCTAATACCCTATTTAATGGGTAAACGATATGTTAGTGAATCCGTGTTGTAAACAAAATCGATCTACTTAATTACATTAACGTTCGTTTAACGCAATCATTTAATTTTAACTAACCTGCTCTCGTGTAAAAGTTAACATAACACAGCAAAATGTATCACTCCTTCTTCCCTTGCATGCTAATTAGCCAAATAATAGCTGAATATGTGAAACTAATGATAATACCTAAGATTCTGAATGTGGTACCATAATCAATGCAAATAAATTATTCTTGATTCCCAGGATCTAAGATTTTCATCTTATTAGTAAACTAGCTTTTGCCCGCGTCTTCACCCGCGTGAAATTTAGTTGGTCACCGATCGTTATAAATTATAGCCTATGTGTTATTCTGGGCTATAAACAATAATACTGTAAAGTTTCATCAAAATTCGTTCAGTAGTTTTTGCGTGAAATAGTAACAAACATCCAGACATCCATACAAACTTTCGCATTTATAATATTAGTAATTTAAGGAAACACCTAACAAATTGGGAAAATGAATATCTTCAGTACTACTACTGAAGTTCTTTCACGACTTTCCTATATTAAAATATGGCTTTCCATTTTTTTATTTGGAAAATGGAAATGATTAATTTCCATTTTTTTATTTTGTGTATTAAAGATATTTTATCCTAATTTATTGCCACAGAGGCGTCAATACGTCTACCCGTGGTAGTAAAAGGTGGTCGCCTCCGATTGATCACGTATTATAAAAAACGTATAAGATTAGTGAACACGCACGTGTTAATAAACTGGATATTTAAATTGATGGGCCTGATTAATAAAAGTCACATAATTAATTCATATACAGTTTACTTAGTATGCTAACATGTGCTTACAATTTTCACAAGATTACACTTAATAATACTAACACACTATAATGTAGACACACTTACAACAATTCATTAGCATTCAATTATTTTGCAAGAGAACTACTTTCTGTATCACAATCGCCGTTGACGACTTGTCTCCGCAACTGCACCAAGTGCTGCAAATATTCTGTGGGCGTTCGAGCCGAACTTTCAGTCCTGTAACCACTTTTTTTGCCATTATGGTAACCAGACAAATAACTATCGTATTTATTCACGGAAGTTTCTAAACTATTGCACGAAATCTTCAGTTCTTGTTCAAGGCTCCTAAAACTGTTACTGTGGTTGCACCTTAACTTCAGCTTATCTTCGAGAATGTTTTTTCTTCGCCTAAAAGAAGCATTAGACGTGTCACGCGATTCAACACTATCGCTCGAACTGATATCATTATGCTTTGATGATGTTTGGGAGGAATCGTTATCATACACCTCTTTATCCAGACCTAAAAATTCTCTATACAACTTTGCTTTGGCTTTTGCATACTTTGCCCCTTTATAAATTGGTGTGTATTGACCCATTTGTGTATTGGTTTTATTTTTGTCAGACGCTGCACCGCCTTTCTTCCAGATGAATGAATCAGTTTCTACTTTACTTGAGTCTATAGAATCTGAATAAGAATTAGAGGGCGTATCTTGACTGTCCAGAATATTCGCTTCATTGTCTATATTATTATCAATGGCCTCGGAGTTGTGATTTGTTTCATAAAATGTGCTTTTGTTCTGTGTTTCACAAGTAGCCTGCGAAGCGACGGAGGAAACAGGAACAGTATCATCTTGGAACTTCACTAATCTCTTTGTGCTATCAACTGCTCGAGGTGGAGATAGAATAATATTGTATGGGTACAAGTTTTCATTGCGACCTAAAATCATATCTTTCATATCACTGGAATCTACCCTTTTTAAACAATCTGGAGAGACACGGGGCAAGACACAATCTTCCGTATCTGAAAAGTCGTCACAGTTTTGTAATGATTTCGAGGAATTGCTGGTGGAAGTGTCATTTGCTATTTCAATTTCTTGCGGTATATTTACGTTATAAACTTTAGCATTTTGTTCAATTTTAACAGTCTTACTACAACAAGGATCAAGTGTACTATGATTAGTTAGTAAATCAGGAGGCATGTTCTGGACTGATTCTGATTTGCCACAGCTATTATTCTCAGCCGTATTATCGGAATTATCATCAGATGTTTGTGACTCTGAATCAGCAGGATAAACTTGTGAAATGTTAATACTTATAACTGGTGCCGCATTTTCATTAGAACATTTAATTTTTTCAGAATTTTTCATGCAATTACACAATGCACGTCGTTTTCTTCTTGGCGGTGGCACTATTAGAGTTTGCGTTGTGCGATCACTTTTAGTTACTACGTCAGTCATAACGAAAGAGCTTCTGTGAACAATTTTCTTTTCATCGGTTATAGTAGATCGATCGTGAAAATGTAACATTCCATATTTAGAACCAACAGCAATTTCTTTACACCGAGGAGTCATAGGCATAGTTTCAGTGGCTGCATCGCGATGAAGTGTGTAACTAGGTTTATTATTTCTTAAGATATACGCCTCTAAATCTGTTTGTACCTCGATACCTTGATCTCTAACTCGAGTGACCATTTTTTTCGTTTGCGTATGAGCCGGAATACCTATTCTCCGTTTGTTTCGTAACGCTTTCTGACTTAACTCCATGAGCCGTTGCCGCGCATTAGTACAAATCTTTAATTCGCTCAGCGGTTCCATTATTTTCTTGTCTATAACTGTCTCCATTTTCGATGCAGCTGCCTCTTCTTTTTTCTTTATTTTATTGTATAGTCTTTCAGTAACTGAAGCTACTATTTCAGCTCGTTGACTGTCGTATAGAATAGGAATTTGTGGGGCTTTTGCTTTATCTATTTTCCTTATATCGTCAATCTGAACTTCACTTTGACTGGGCATCACATCAACTGTGTGATCTCCGTGTAATTTTTCAACAATAGGTAGAATTTCTTGTGATTTGTATTGCCTACGCTTGTGTCTAAGTGGAGCCATGACTTTGAGATCACTATTACTTTGTGTCCTTTCTAGTGCAGGTCCAAATAATTTATCTACTTCTTTTGTTATTTCACTGGTTATATCGATTTTGATATTTTTATCCATCGCGTTGATAACATCCGAACTACCGCTCGCTGCTGATGAGGCGGTGGAAGAATGAGCGTCGGCTTTCGGATGCAATAGATTCATAATGTTACCTATTTTTGCAGTTTCTTCGGAGGAATCAGGAGATTGCAGCTTTACATTGTTCGCATACAATTTCCAATGATTATCATCGTATGAAATTTTTCCAGTTTCAGGTATCTGAAAAATATAGGCATAAATTAATTAAGTGTCTTTCTGTAAGATTGGTTTGGAATGCTTTAAAATCGTAGATTTTTTGCAAAGTAGGTACATTAAGAGCAATTTCGCTCTACTTCCGATACGAATCCGTGACGACAATTATTTGTATGGTAGTTTACGCACATACGATTTATGATTCGATAACCATCATCAGATTCTATAATAGTTTAAAGGATTCGAATTGATGCGAAACCGTTGTAAGTGACAAAAATCAAAGTTACTGATTTTTTAATGTTTGATCTTGATATTATTTCTTATTTATTTATAGTACGAATGACCACATCTTAATTTGAAAACCAATGACGTACGTATTGAATGTGATTCCTGCTAAGTTCTGCTAGCAGCTGTGTGTACAAGGTGCGCAGAGCCGGACGGCTGGCGGTGACGCGCGGCGACGGCAGTTGGCGCGCGCGCTCCGCCCAACGAAGGGTCGACGCCGACTCGCCGTAGCACGCGACGCTTGGGGACACAGCTGGTGAGACAAGTTACTTTTTATCTGGGGGCACGGCAGTGCCCCCACCAAGTCGAGCAAAAAAGCGGCACGGCCGTACCATCCTTTTCTCGAAGCAATTCAGCCCATTTTCGATTGCCTGTAACTTCGTTGTGGATAAAACTAGAAGGATGAATTTTCATTAGCTATGCAGGCATTGTAAAGACACGGTATATTTAAAATTTCATTCAATTTGAACCAGTAGTTTAGGAATTATAACGGGTCAAAGTTACTTAATTTTGTCACTCACTGACTCACTGACTCACCGATCATCAAAACTCTAAGGCACTTTTAGTAGACCTAGAAGCTTCAAATGGCAATGCCAGATTTTGTATGGAAAGTGGCGTCTTTTTTTTTTCGCGCGGCCATCGACCATACTTTGTTTTTTGATTACAAAATAGTGTAATAAACCAAACTTACTATGACATGTATACCTCTAAACTCAGTCTGAACTGAGTTACGAGCATTAGAAGTTTGATGATTTTCATACTAGATTTGCTTTTTGTGCGCAAGTTTTGTAAGAAATTGCAACAAAATATTGCGCTATTTTTTTATTGCGCTGATTCTGCTCCATACTGATGTCTGGAGCCTTTAATGGATGGTATTGTTTGTTTACACATACAATCTCACTATTTTGTTGCAATTTCTTACAAAACTTTGCGCGCAAAAAGCAAATCTAGTATGAAAATCATCAAACTTGTAATGCTCGTAACTCAGTTCAGACTGAGTTTAGAGGTAGGATTACGGGCTAATTTGATATTTTCATAAATTAACTAAAAACTATTATTATAGGTAACCTGGTTTAAATAAATTAAATGAAACCATCAATCGAGCTAGTAGGATTTATTTTATTATTCATCAATAATCAAATTCAGAACTTGAATATTCAACTGCAATGTCTGCTCATGAACGCTTCAAACTCGGTACTTCTTTCCCAATTCCATAAAATTCAACACTTAGAAAGTGACAAAAAACTTTAAAATAGGTAGTTGAAACAAACCACAGCTAATTTTCATAGTGGACTGTACTATACGATAAACATGTCAGTCAATTTGACAACCTTTGTTGGAAACATTATTCAATGAAAATATTGTCCGAACCCTTGGTATTTCTCTTCGACAAATACTTTAACACATTGTGAACCACTTTTCTTTCACGACTATAAAAATATTTTAGCAATTTCATACACAAAATCAATTGCGCACATTTAAAATAAAGTTTGTTTACACTTTGACAGCAATAGACTGACATGCAAGGTGACATGTCAATGAAGTTTTTAGTTATTGTTGCCATTAAAAGAAATTAGTACCATTAGATTTCCGCAACATGGCGAGGGTTTTTATGTTCCTGGTCAGGCTATACGGTAAAAAGTTGTGAGATCTATGTAATACCAAGTCCAGGCCAGGAAATCTCTAACGTTTTATATAAATATATTGACTTGGCCATCGCATGAAAACACGTGTAAATTAAATTATTTAGTGCGATGGCCAAGTCAATATATTTATGTAAAACGTTAAAGATTTCCTGGCCTGGACTTGGTATTACATGGATCTCACAACTTTTTACCGTAGAACAACTGAGTTGCGAGACTTGGTTTTTTTGACAAGTATTGTTTTGATGGGATACAAAATTCGGGGCAACTCACCGCTAATCAACGCTAAATTTTGTCAGTGTGTGAGTCAGATACTTACTTAAAGACCACTATGAATAGTATGTAACTTACTAGCGATAATAAAAGCGGAGGCGCCTCCCGTGAAGCAGTCCTTCAGCAGCCAAGTGAGGGCAGAGTCGCGGTATGGAACGAACCTCCCACGCCCGCTTACTAAAGAAAATAGAGTTTTAATACAAACAATGTAACTAAATATTAGTTTCAAGCGTAATAATTGCAAATATGTACATTGGCACTGTTTTCGATTAAAAACTTTCTCGTGGTAGAATGACCTTTGGGTCTAGACAAAGTGCACATGTTAATCGCAAACCAATCGAACCAGTTTTTTTTATGAAGTTTTTACGGATTCGATTTTCGATTCGATCAAAAAGTGCAACTTGTCTAGGGGGCTTGTCTAAAGGTGAGTATAAACTAGAGCATTTTCTCGAGCATTTCTATGTAATGTTAACGTTCTTACGAATGGTGCAATAGAGGCAAAATGTACGACGGTTCGTGAAAAGGTGATACACTAGAACATATCATAGAGCGGCTCGTTGTTCTGTTACAGGTATAATATGCTCTAGTCTATACTCACCTTAAAATGAACGAAAAAAATTCATTTGACTATTCTAAATAATACAGCCAAGAAGGCAATGACTTGTATTTAATTTTATTTGATTTTGATTTTGATTCATTAAAAACTTACCTAACGCTGAGATAACATTGCTAAGAGCAACCAACGATTTATTTATGTTTGCGCCTTCTTTCTGGCGGCCGTCGCAGCCTTCCCAGCCAGCTTTCTCGCTGCATAAGTACGAAGTTAATTAAATGCATTTATTATTTTACATTTAGAAGGTTAATAGAGCAATATCTAATATTAGTCTCCTCTATATTGCGCGCTTGTTACACTTATTATGCGATCATGCGTCATACATGCCCGGCTCTACTTTATGGCTTCCAAATACCCTCTCCAGACTAGACTATAGTTGGATTAAACTGTTAGTAGGTAAGGCAACCTTTCTACTAAGCTCCTATAAACCTTTGCACCGCCATCATTTCACTAGATGCTCCTAATAAGAAGTAGGTAATGCACATTAAATGCTGCTAAGTAGATTCATAGCTTAGGTCACAACATGACTGATCTTGGGTATGGAAAAACAAGGATGTAAAATAATTATCTTTTTGAATTTATGAACTTTACGGCCTTTGGTGCAAGCTAGTGTATAACATGCATAACACACAGCAGGTAAACCTACCTACGGCATATAATGCTGATAAAGTAAGATAGATACACAGCAGGTAAACCTACCTGCCAGCCAAGTCAGCGAGATGAAGAGTAGCACTGGCGGTGGCTATCTCCAAGAGAGCATGGGACCGCGAAGATGTGGCGTTGCGTCTTGTAGCAGCCGTGCGACGACGGCGCGAGCCTTCGCTCACCAGTGCTAAGAGCGCTGCCACGTCATTGATGGCTACTCTTCGGAGATCTACGAAACAAAGGATAAATTGACTTCCATCTTGACTTAAAATGTGGCGCTAGATGTGGCTATGAAGAGCATGAGAAACCGAGCTGAAGAGCGCATCCTCGTCTATTCCGACATGTAACAGTTGTCTTTGTTCCTTGTAAAAGATAAAGTGGCTCTATCTAGGAGTGACTATTCAAGACATCGTGTGGTATCGCAATAAGTTTGTCTGCTGTGGTGTGGCCAAGGCCAAAGGCCATGATAGATTAAGACTCTACATCTATCCAGTGAACTCTAATTGCAACTAGGAAGCCACTGCTCCTAGGATGTTTTAGTGGGGGGGGGGGGGGGNTTTGTATGGTATTAAAGTGTAATTTAAAACAGGTTTCCACTGCCTTTGGGTTGTTTTGGGGGGGGGGGGGGGGCAAACAGTTGCAAAAGTAACACTTCTATACATAAACACAAGACTCACTTTGCACGTAGGGCCCTCTGTCGGGGTGCTACCGCACGCGCAGGTCCTTGCGAGCGTTGCCCCTGCGCCGGGGCAGCGAGTGGCACGCAGCAAGTCGTGGACGCGCTTGTTGTAGACCAGGACACTGAAAGTAACCTCTAAGTATCTACACACAAACATAAGACTCACTTTGCACGTAGGGTCCTCTATCGGGGTGCTCCCTCACGCGCAGGTCCTTGCGAGCGTTGCCCCTGCGCCGGGGCAGCGAGTGGCACGTGGGCGGCGCGCTCTCGCCCGCCAGCAAGTCGTGGACGCGTTCCTTGTAGATCACCAGGACACTGACAGTAACCTCTACATAAACACAAGACTCACTTTGCACGTAGGGCCCTCTGTCGGGGTGCTCCCGCACGCGCAGGTCCTTGCGAGCGTTGCCCCTGCGCCGGGGCAGCGAGTGGCACGCAGCAAGTCGTGGACGCGCTTGTTGTAGACCAGGACACTGACAGTAACCTCTAAGTATCTACACACAAACATAAGACTCACTTTGCACGTAGGGTCCTCTATCGGGGTGCTCCCGCACGCGCAGGTCCTTGCGAGCGTTGCCCCTGCGCCGGGGCAGCGAGTGGCACGCAGCAAGTCGTGGACGCGCTTGTTGTAGACCAGGACACTGACAGTAACCTCTAAGTATCTACACACAAACATAAGACTCACTTTGCACGTAGGGTCCTCTATCGGGGTGCTCCCGCACGCGCAGGTCCTTGCGAGCGTTGCCCCTGCGCCGGGGCAGCGAGTGGCACGTGGGCGGCGCGCTCTCGCCCGCCAGCAAGTCGTGGACGCGCTCGTTGTAGATTTCCAGGAAACTGCCAGATCAAAGATAATAGGTACTATTACAGGATCTTCCACAAGGACATCTCCCCATCCCCAACTGGAATAGATCTCTTTTTAGTAATAAAACAACCTAACTAAATTGTTCCGTTTTGATTTTACATTTCTTTTGTTTGTCAGTTTTGTGTGGTTTGCCTTAATAAATAGTCTCCCTTAGATAAGTAGATAATGGACACCTTTTAAGTATGTATATGCTCCGTGATTAGGTAGGTAGGTAGGTAACATATTTAAAAGCAGATGAGGTGATTTGAAAATATTTAATTAATTTCGGCATTTTCACCATTTTCGTGATTCTGGACATCCTATAACTAGGTACTCATTGAAGACCACATTCCCTTATCCGTATATTTATCAACAAAAGTATGATTGGTGCAAAAAGTAGGTACTATATAGTTTACCTACTTTTGGCACAAGCCTAGCAGTTTAAATACCAAATTAAATTCTAACATAACGATTAATGATAAACGTTGAACAGTGATGTGACATAAGCGGTAGGACGAGTATATCGTCCTTGCGTGCCGTGCGTCTTTGTGGCGCAACTATCATTTTGTAAGCTCTGCATACTTACCTTGCTTAGTTTGATTTAATTGATTTTGTAATTAACTAGCATGCAGATTTAACGACTCCGATTTTTTTTTCTTTTATTTCTATTTTGTGCTTTTTAGTTCAGCAGAATCTTCTAATTCAATGGTCGTATTTTTAACTCAAGAATATCAGTTTTTTTGGATCTTCTTTATCTAACATTAACATAATAAATTAATCAAGTCATTACTCAATTATACCTATTGGAAAGCCTAATAACCTTTACCTATTTTGATTTCTATAAATAAACATTAAATACATCCTTCATTAATATTTATTACGGTTGTGAAGAGAATATTGCACAATATTTCTGAGAGCATTGACCGGGGCGTACCTATAATGGTTTTGAATATTAATCAACAATTTATTGTACAGAAAATTAAATATAAAAAGTGTCACCTGGGCAAGATTCGCAGTGAGCAGTACCCATAGATTGTATCTTTATTCTAAAAACATCACACTCTCAAACCGTTTATAACTCTTTTTTGTAATAGATCGATTGTAATCTATGCAAATAAAGAAATAAATTAGTGTTTCGATTATTTTCATTGATAACCAGTGACATTGGAAATAATCACAAACCGGTGTCCAAGATGAAAAAGTTTGGGTATAGGTATTAACAGCTTAAGCTGTTTTTTTTTAATTAATTTAATCACTTATTTGTATTCTTTTATTCAAAGTTATGCTTATAATAATCTTTCTTCCTATACATTTCTTATGTCACTAAACATTAGAAATTATTATTGAAAATCTTATAATTATTTTTACAGAGCCTATGTGTTTTAGGTAAATGGCATCAATGAAAATAAAAGAATGTTTTGAAGCTGAACCTTGACTTTGTTGCCAAAACTTCAGCACAAAAGACAACAAACTTCCCGACTAAACGAAATCTACAATCATTACTGTTTGTCACGACCTGCGAACTAATGATTGCGTTTTAATGAAATGCTACAACTTCGCTCGACACTAAACTACATTTTAATGAGTCGATTTTGTTAATCCGCACACGCATACACGCAGTTCATTTGTTTAATCAGCGAACCACTATCCTAGGTGTGCTTACATTCTAGGACTAGGTACTAATTTTATTACCTACTATCTGGTCTACTTCTTAAACTCTTGCTTGATTGCCAAACGTAGTTTTAGCAGATCTTTATTTTTTTTCTTAAACTCTTTGGTCTTTTCGTATTTTACTAATTTAGTTATACCTAGGTACGTAAATTATTATCCTCTTACTTAATAATACTTGAGACTTCTTTGTCATCTTTTTTACAGCGAATTTCTTTCACTAATTTCGATAACGCAAGCCATAGGGAAAAAGCATTCGATATTACAAAACACGAATGAGTTTACAAACAAAATCGTTATTATGGACGTGTCGATGATAGCCGCGATCGCTGTTCATGTAATTTCAGTGAATATCAAAAGCTTAATAGCTTCAGGGAAACTACTCGAGAATCGCTCGAAATGGATATGTTTCGAAAATCATTCGGAACATTGCGACTAATAATCTCAAGACAAGAACTCTAACACATCCATTAACTCTGAAATTGACTAAGCACCTAGCTCGTATTGTTAAACTCGACGTTACATTATCGGGATCAACTGAAGTCAACTGCTTCAACCCTTTTGCCAATAAAATTCTAGATTTAAATCTATACGACTATAGAGCACGACTCTAGGTAAGTAGGAATCTACATCTTACCAAAAGGAGACGGCAAAAACAAGAAGACTAAATAAGTAATAAACTATATCAGCAGACAAATCGAGCGATGCATGAATGAGCTCGTGTGTAAGGGTGGCGTGCCAGCGGCGACTATAACCTGGCGCAGACACCTCCAAACGTAACCGCTAACAAAACTGCCACTGTGTACACTCAGCCCCAAATTCATCGCTATTTACTAATGTAACAATTTCTATATCTGATAGGCAGGTACCATGTAGTTACCTAATGTAACACAGGATAGAGAAAAACATCCTATAAGTAAAAACGTCGACCTATTTTCCTCATGCAAGGATAGATAACAATAAACGTATGTACTTACAAAATTTTGTATTTTTTAAAAGTAAATAAAGAGTGTACTTATGTGCACTCACCAGAAACTTTTAATAAAGTTATGTTTCTTATTATTTTTTATAAGTTACGTATTATTTTACTCATACCCATAACTTTAGTTCATAGGATAATGAATTTATTGTTTGGTAACATAGGTAGGTACCTAACTTGTGAGTCAATCATTATAACTAAGCTTTTTTAAAGCAGCTTTTATATATCGTTAGAGACAGATAGTCCAGTCAATAAAGCATTATAGATGGAAAACTGTAGAACACAATTTCTGACTTCAGGACTTTATTTAGACTAGTTAGGAGGTGAACATAGCAAAAGTCCCCGCCCTTAGCCCTTGAGCCGGCGGGGAGAGGGGGGTTTAAAGGTGCCACTTTTCGGTTTTTCACTTAATCCTCGGAAACTATGCGTCCTAGTGACATGACTACTTTGAACCAAAAAAAGCATATTCAATTTGCTACAGATGAGATAGACAAGTTTTTCTATAAATTGTATAGTTTTCGCGGCATCTGCTCTAGAAGGTCTGTAATATTGGAAATTTTATTTTTGTCTTACATGTTCCCATCGGGAGAAAATCGACTAAATCAACATTGAGCAATCATTCTAGACATGCGGGAGAATGTTAAGCCTAGTTCCAGCGAGGGGACTACACCGTGCGTATATTTAGACGAATCACTTTGAGCCACTTTTGACTCCTCATCACTCAAAAACTACTGTGCATTATCACTTCAAATTTGGCTCATGTGTTGAGACTTGCAAGATATACATCAGTTTCAAATTTCATAAATATGCCTCAAACGGTTCTTTAGATATTGACGTCCAAAAATCTACATGTCTGACCTATAGACCAAATTCTAACCACTTCCAGATGACCTCGAAGGTTCAAATTTGGCATCCAGAAAGGTAGTTATGTAAATACAAAGGAACAAATAAAAAACCAGTAAATTTTAACATTTCACATGTGATAGATAGATAGTAGTGCTCTAAATATCGATTTTTGAACGTCAATACCTAAATAACCGTTTGAGGTATATTTATGAAATTTGAAGCTGATGTATATCTTGCAAGTCTCAATACATGAGCCAAATTTGAAGTGTTAATGCACAGTAGTTTTTGAATGATGAGGAGTCAAAAGTGGCTCTAATTGGTTCGTCTAAATATACGCACGGTGCAGTCCCCTCCATGGAACTAAGCTTAACATGCTCCCGCATGTCTATAGTGTTTGCTCAATGTTGATTTAGTTGATTTTCTCGTGAAAGGAACATGTAAGACGACAGTAAAATTTCCAATTTTACAGACCTTCTAGAGCAGAAACCGCAAAAACTATACAAGATATAGAAAAACTTGACGGTCTCACCTGTAGCAAATTGAATAAGCTTTTTATGGTTCATAGTATTCATGTCACTAGGACGCATAGTTTCCGAGGATTAAGCGAAAAACCGAAAAGTGGTACCTTTAAACCCCCCTCTCCCCGCCGGCTCAAGGGCTAAGGGCGGGGACTTTTGCTATGTTCACCACCTAACTAGGCTGAATAAAGTCCTGAGGTCAGAAATTGTGTTCCACGGATTTCTCTCTACACCGTCGTTAAGGCATTCATTGACTGGACTAAGAACAAATTAATAAAATTTGCATGAACTGTCGCATACAATAACAAAATTGATAAAAGCCTTTATCACTTTAACTTCGCGTTGAAAACTTTATAAAATGTAACAACACGACATAAATAATCACGCGTCACAGACCCCAACAAAAAGCACTCTATAACAACACATTTCTTAAAAAACATTAGTTTGGTTTAAAGATACTAACAAATTAAACTTACTCAGGTTATTTTCCTTAGAGCGTTTTCACAACTGTCCGTTAGAACACTGGGCGGGCGGCTCGTAGGGAGGGCGCGACACACTGCCAGAGGGGTGTGAAACCATACTAACGGCTGACGGCGTCTAGCCACGTTGCCTCGACATACACCAAATGCAATTTGTAGGGGTAGAATAAGAAGACGAGTTTGTGATTTTTTTAGGTATTTTTTTTATGCAAGACAAGGCAGATTTTGACCGCAATCGAACCTGGTGTTAAGTAAGACGCCTGCAGTCGGTGCAGTCCTGTTGTCCCCCCTGGCTAGGGGAGACAACAGGACTAGATTTTTAATCAATGATTTGAGGACTGTTGTCCCCCCTGGCAAAAAATATTTAAAAGCCATAAATTTTTATAGCATTAATTATTTATGAAAAACTGAAGTATTTGACTGAATGCGAAATTGCCAAACTGAATACCTAAACGTTTGTCTCAGTTTGTCAAGGTAATAGCTAATTACAATTTTGATAGGTA